TGAATATACATCCACACCCACCGCCCCCCCGGCGGCTTAGATTGTTGAATTCCGGCCCCAGATAGAAAATGCATTGTCTCAGATTGGTAACGAAAAAAATGAAAAATAAAAATGAAATGTCCAGTCTGTTATGAATGTCCCAAAAGCATTTCAAATCGATTCAAACTGAGAGCATACTAGTTTAGATCAGAACAAATGGGACTCGCTGTGTGGATTATGTCTAACTTTGCGGTGATTCAAGCATAGTGAATAAGACGATAATTGTATTTCCGAATTATTTTATAACACAAATAGAGACGAGAAACAGACACGGAAAAATTGTCAAAATTTGTTGAACCCATTTCTGATGATCCAAAAACGATGTTTTACTCACTCCCTGTCAAGGATGAGCCAGTAAGCGGCTGGGCAAATAAGAAGAACTTATCCACATCTGCTGTCTGGGTCAGGATGGGCTTGTTGAAGGACACGTTGATTCGGTTGCCAGTGGCTGGAACGCCTGCGGTTGGAAGAACTGACTGGGGTTGAAGAACTACGTTGTCCGGTGGTAGCGGTAATTGGACAACCTGTGCATTTTGACCAAAACAAATATAAGCCTATGGAATCACACAAGTTATGCAAATACAAAATTGAGGAATTTCGATCTCCAAAACGTGACATATATTTAGCTTACTTCTAGCAGCATAATCAGTTTGTTTCCACAAGGACAGTTTCCGATGGTGGTAGAATAACAGTCCGGTACTCTTTTTCGGTCATTACAAACAGGTAATGTGTATTGTATAACATTTTGAGGAATGTAATTCATCGATGGATTATTACTCATAAATTTGTTTCGTCTGTCGAGTATAAAATAGCAAATGCGTTCAGTAGTGAGGTTCATATAAACGGATTGGTTGATTGAAAATTCGTTTAACTGAATGTCTAGTCTACTGAATAAATAGAATGCTCACCACGTGGCATTACATTTTAAATTAGCAACCTTTGAGATTAGATTTATTTAATATGCAATAACAATTAAGTGTGAAGAACAGGATGACTACCAATTCAAAGCTGACAAAATGGGAAATTGAAAGCCGGAAAAAGCAGCGCGTTTGAAAATCAAGAACTAGTTCGGATGGCTAATATCACCAGATAGCCGACACTTCAATTCACTTTCATTGAAATTAGTTAAGTTGATAGGAGACAATTCTTCTTTACCGAAACAGAACACAAAGTGGCTCAAAGTGCATGATCTGCTCCAGCGACAGAGCTGAATGGTTCGAGTGGAGACTGCATCGAGAACTAAATTACCGATTCACAAGAGAAATCTATCAGTCTTTATGTTACTCCAGAGCGAACGGATAACTACACAAAGGAACTCTGGTATATTAGGTACCGTTATTTGACGTTGACCCAGTATTCCACGATTGTCACGTGATGGATGTGACTGAGCCTTAGTTTACCTAAAACATGGATCTCACACCTATCAAATGATTCAGGGTGCTTCAATCCACGAGAGGCGATTGAGTGCATCAATGACAAATCGAAAATGGAAAGACCACTTTTGACTTCATGAGCACTGGGGTAGTAAAGATAGTTATATGCTTACTTAGCAGTAGTGACTATATCGCATGAGCGTTCCGCAACCACAAACTGACTGACTGACGGATAGATCGATCTCAGCAAACCTCAGCATGCGGTTCACAAACGTCCACGCACATTGCAACGGTCTGTTTGTCTTTCCAGACGCCTTCAGGTTTAGCGCATGAGTGAACCGCATCCGGTGTGTTTGGTATCGGAGAGGGCAAAACCGGATCTTGAAAATGCGAGTATACCAGGGCTGACTGCTTCACACGGTCACTTGACCGGAAATTTAGATAGTTTTCTCTTTACGGTTTTGTTTACAACAAATGTGTGTGGACTTGTTGTTCATGGTATGACCGTAGCGTACGAGAATGGCGCATAATGTCATGATGCGTGTTAATAACTACAGCGTAAAATGGGATACATGATATATTTTATAAACCAATCAAAAGAGAAATTAAGAGAGAAAGACAGACTAGCATCCACTGAGAAACGAATTCGTTATGTCACCGGATTACAAAGACTTTAGGAGAATGACATACATTAAAAAGGTGATGGAAACGATAATCAGTGGGACAAAAATCGGCTGCCTGATGCTTTTCAATCGTTCATCACTGATATTACTGCTTCTATAAGGCATGACAACTTTTTAATGCATATTTTTTTCTCGACTTCATCCAAGGATGTGAACGAGGAATAACACAACTTCCGTCCGATGAACTCCTCTAATCACGTGAAGACTGACACGAGAACCGGTTAAGTCATTATACTGTTTCTTTCCAACATGCAACAACAATTGGCTATGACAATGAGCACCCGGATTCCACTCGAGTGGTATTCAAGTAGGTAAAATCGTCTCTTTTGACGAGCACAAAACAAACTCAAGTGCATTGCATGGATGAATAAAAAACGATAAACTAGTGTGCTCAGAAATCTGGATTTTTGCAACAGAATTACCAGTATGTTACATTTGTAGATCAGCCAAGAACTAACATGAAATTCGCGACGTATACACATTCTCAAAGAATTAGAACTAACAAGTTCTACGTGATAATATCCGCTGACAAATATAATTCTCACCTGGACTTCTGTGGATAAACTGAAATTTCCTCCTTGTGATGTAATACGACACAAATACACTCCAGCATTATCTGACCTGAGCTGTCGAACGGTGAGCACAGAACCGTATTCTGGCATAGTGGTACTGTTCCGTTGAAAATAGTCGATCGTGGCCACCGATGAACCAAGCGTACCAATACCGACACCACTTCCTCGATTGTGCACTGCGCTGCCGGGTTTCGAGGTCTGACCCGGTCGAGCGTACAACCATTCGAATGCGACCCTTGCCTCAATGTGGCTGTAAACCACACACGGTAGTTGAAGGCTATCATTCCACAGGGCACTAAGACGTTCAGGTAGTGATACGGCCGGACGTGTGCGCGCTGTGAACGGCGGCCAGAATGAAGGTGAATCCAAGGGCAAATCGAGCGCACGGAGATTAATGTGGGAAAAATAAGGCAGGCGGTTTTGAATCAGACAGAGACGAGGTTAGAGTAAGCAAAATCACGGTCAGTTTGCCGACAAATGCCCACACCGGATATGGGACCACAGACAATTCAGGTACACGACCCGCTCATGTCAGTCATATATGTTCGTTCACAGCTTTTCGGGGGGAATGAAAATAAATAAACGCGATGACATTTGTTGAACCTCATGTGTGCGCAAGCGAGTAAGTGAGCGCATGCACACATGCGCACACGTTCATGTCAGCTGTGATGTTGTGGCAGCGAACCTTGTGACCTTCATGCTCGGCTGTATACCAAACCAGTCTAGACATTAGTCACTTAGTGGGACATTTGTATATGCATTAGGTGAGCGCCGCTCAAAGGCCTGACTTATCTTTTGGGGTTCACTTGTGGCATACAAACATAATAACATCACAGTGTTCTTGTAATTCGCATGGGATGGGCAGCAAAACGTTAAAAATTCAAGCGTATGACCTACGGTGTTGACGATGTGGCTCAAGGCAAAACAACTGGTGTAGTGTAGAAATTTGTGATAAAATATTACAATTCAAATTTCCGGTTAGATAATCTATTCTGAGAATACACTACAGATTGTGCTCCATCTAGCTGGTGAACATTGGTAATGCTTATGTCAAACTTTCACACATCGTTACTCCGTGGGAGCTTTAGGTAAGACTGGTGATGGACTATTTTGCACAAACAGAAATCACCCTTCTTTCGGAAAGGCATAGAGTAACGTCGCTGACATATCAGCAACTGTGAGCCATCCATAACGAAGTCCCAACGGAATGTAGTATTAAAGGGGACTAGAGATTTCAGTTCCAAATTTACTGTGCAGTTGTTATTCTTGGTTCTAAAAACGATTGGATTAAACATACGGGAGTGGTAGCGATAGGAACATTGGCTCTTCATTATACTTTCTGCTGTTGTATCTGAGGCTAAAACTAAACGTAAACTGCCGTGCTTCTGCATAAAACTACATACATTTCATATCAAGGAATGATGACCGGTTACATCCGATTATGGGCTGGATGAGGGTGACAAATGGCACGAAGCAGAACCGAGCTTTATGTTACGTCATTCACACAGATTTCCGAGACTAGGTGGTCAAATTGTCACAGTAGCAAATAGCGTCGTCGTACCGTGCTTTATATCAGCCCATGCTATCCGCTAAGTTAATTTGCATTCGAAACGGATTTGCACCTTTTTAGTTCTGTTTATTAGTAGTTCCAAAACATCTCATCTCACCAGTTGTGCGTGTTTGTAAATGCGTTGCGTCTTTCAAATCTGCGGTGAAATCTTGCCGGCCCGAACAGAACTTTCGATTAAACCTAAATGGATTTTTATGAACTGATCACCAAGCATGATTACTTGTTCAAACTTTCTTTTGGGGCTTTTATTTCGTGAAACGGAGAACAACACTGTTGACCCCCTTTTGACTGTTTGAAGTGATTTTGTGTTTGATACACGCGGCAAATGTGTAATTAGTTCTTTGAAGAAGCCTGCTTCGCTCTCCTACTTCCTAACTGTGTTAAGCTTGACCTAGACCAGCAACGTTATCAACGTATATGAACAATTATAAAGCATGCTCCCTAATGTTTTCAATCGAATAAAACTCTACCTTTGGGAAACATTTTGCGCTAATACATCAATCATGCTTGTCATACAGTCTGTATCATTTGCTCGAACACTCCTCCCTTTCGGTTTAAATATGTTTAGCGTTGCCCCCAGCCTTCAATCTTATACGGATCGGTCTGTGGTATTTAGGTCATGCACACTTCACAGAAAAAAACCAAATAAATATAGCAAGCGAAGATCATTTGTATGCCGAAAAGCGGCAACTGAAATCAAGATTTATATGCTGCACAGTGTTTTTTTCCATTCGGTTAGTCGAGTTGCTGGACTGTGGAAATGAGAATCCGTCGAATCAATTTGATCGGGATACTGCAGGCAGTCATGATAAATTACACGCAATAAGTGATAACGGTAACACTAATTTTCATTTATTAAAGCAAAGGAAGAAAATACATTTTCAGTGAACAATTTTTCAGACTGAGTTTTCAAGACGTATTGCTCTCACCCGAAAGGATCACTGGTTCTAAATATCACATAGATGGTGGTAAACAGCGTCATCTCAAACCGGGTTAGTTATTAAACGTTGAGCCCATCGCGATGGCACTTTTTGTCACGTGACGTTTTCCGTCGCCTGGCCCAAAAAAGAACGAGGCGGAATCACGCCTGCCACAGATCGGTTGTTGAAATGTTCGATAAAACTCCAACTCCCTGATCCACACCATCTTCTTTTGGTTGCTTTAGAAAGATTCTCGTTCTTCGTTGTTTGTTGATGAAGTGCGCATTTCTTTATAACTTTTAAAAAAGTTGTATTCACAAAAATACGATTATGTTTACCACTCAATCTGCTTTCATCACTATCTGAGTAGTTATTTATAGGTCAGGTTGAGTAAGTCAGTGTTTCACTTACCAAATACAGATAGCTGTACGTGAGCCACTTCACGACCAAGGGGATTGACTGCCTCACATCGATATACACCACTGTCAATGAGTTGCGCGGCAGAAATTGTGAGTAAATTTCCATACTGCGTGTATCCAACCGGTTGCATTAGTTCTGAGGACACTTTGATCCAATGGTCTTTTTCTACTTCTTCTGAGTTGAAACAAATATGAAGAAGTCAAGCAATACAAGATTCAGCGCTTCTTCTATTCGGTTTCAAAACTCTGGAATAACATTTAACTGAGTGCATTAAACGTCTCTTATTCCAAACAGGCATAAACGGATTTTGAAAATACTTGCATTGAAACGGTGGAGCAATGGTTTTTGTTTCTGCTTGGTACATATTTTATCTAGGACAGTTAAAATAACGTATACACATTACCATATTTTGAAAATAATGTGAAATATCTGTTCTAACTGCCGATGAAGTACACATTCTCTCACATTTTTGTATTTCAAAATGAAAAAAGATGATTTTCGTTCAACAAGTGAAGTGAATATGCGTGTATGTTAGATCATTGTCACCCACTATATTCACAGTTAGATTCCAATTTTTATCAAATTAATGCACCAGCTTTTAAGTGAGTGTCTAAGAATGCAGAGGGTAAAAAAATCTGTGTGTACGCTTTTACACCTGAGTTCCTGGAGCAGATGCTTGAGCGAACAGAAGCAGTCAAAAAATTGACCGACCTAACCAATTACATTTTCTATGTCAACCATCATTAACAAATTCTATGTCCGATCACGGTATCATATTTACTTAAGCGAGTTCCGAAACAGTCTCATTCATTTTGCAAATCATGTGCTCGCAGATAGACTTGAGTTTACCTCGGAGTTGGCTTCTTGCCCTGTCCAGCTATTTATATCTCGTGTATGTTCCTGACAACAGAAATGGTTTTGTTCACTGCACTCATTTGATTCTTGGTTTTATAGTCTGAAAATCTTGCTCGAAGTTCCACACGATTATTCGTTACTCGGTCCATTTCAATATTCCTGATGAAGCTCAATAAACCACAGATTAATTACGTTCCGCGAATCAGACAGATGATTCCTCTGGAAGTGAATTAAGATTGAATTGCCCAAAGTTGAATACGTGCTGCAAATAGGTCATGCTTTCTTTATCCCTTTCGCAAAATCATACTTAATGCGCGAAGGGAATGAAAAAACATAATTTCGAAGATTGGCTTTACTCAATCCATCCCTCTACTCCTCTATGAAAATGTGGGGAATATCGGTGTCGACTCAACTTCGCACAGGGAAGCGAAAGGACACTCCGGCAATCAAGCATGTTACAGTAGTAGTAGTCCGTTGACGTAGAATAGTAGACGAGGTTATTTTCCCCTCCCCGCGTGGCAATCATTTTCGTTATACAAAATCCCTTGATGCAAATGGAGATTTCACATGCAGTAAAGTGAGTTACCAAACAATTGAAAAAATGTAAAGAAATAATTCAGAGTAGATGGAAACGAGTAGAACATATAGATCTGATGTATCGAAATCAGTCAAATTTGTAATTGGGTTAATGAGAAGCACTCGGTGAGTATGAAACCGAAGCTAAGCAATCAAGTATTATATTATATTATATTAATATACGAACTTCCCGGATTCTTTAAGCATAAAGCAGTACCGTTAGAGTGTATTTGAGTCCTGTTGAACAAGCTAACATTATTGCGAATTAATACAGAAACCGGCTTTTTCTTTCCCACACACATATATGCATGCAGCGAGACAATAAGTTGCGCAAAAGGTGAATTGCGGCGAACCGCGCCCAAGAGGTTTTCCGATTTTACTGTGCCCGGCGCAAACAATGCTGAGCTCAGCAGAGACCAGTCCAACATACTACGGAGATATGAATTTGAAACTCTTGCATTGAAGGGACTTTGTACCGGACATACAATTCTGATATTGGCCATAAAACCTTATGTTACACATAGAAGTCGTCAGTAAGGCCGGGATCATTTAAAGTCCCGTCTCTAAGTGGTATTAATCCCAACTTATGTGTGAATTACTTTCCTACTCGCCCTCTTGAATATTTTATAATAAATGAAATTGAAAAAGAGACGTCTATACAGACTAATAAAACCAAGTGACATGCATTATTTTTTTCACTTGATAATAACTAGAATCTATTGCACTGCATTTGTCAAGCACCAACATTTCAATCACAGAAGATGGGTTCTTATAAAAATTGTTTAGTGCAACAAACCTAACTACCCTCTCATCCTACGTGACGACTGCTGTTTGAGATTCTTTCACATCAACCTATTTACGTCCTCAACAGAAAGCCGTTGTTCACGGAGATCAAGAACAAGTAGGTTTGCACTCCATTTCCGGTTTAGTAAATTTCATAATCTACCTCCAAAAGGATTGTGTTCTTGCTTCAGTGACAGTCAATGATTGTGGAACCAACCACACAGTAAATATTTAGTGAAGATCTATAGTTAATTTTAGAAATCAGTGTGACTTAGGACAAACTTATGGATCCGTATTTGTATTTGTGGGTTCTAAAGCAGCATCCATCTAGTCACAATAACTTTGCTTTACCAGCAAAGGTTCTTTATTGAAATAAGCCTAGGTGTAGTAAATTAAATGATGCATCAAGAGTAAACCGGATAGCAAAAAAATGAATGTGCAGCGTCTCTATCAGAGACTGTACTCCTGTACAGAGGAAACATCGAAAATAAAAAACGTGCTTTATGAGGGTGACAGTAATCAAAAACATTTATCAGTGATTTTCACTTCTGCTCAGTACTTCAATAAAGCGTTTCAAAAATTGGCGTGAATAGACTCCACTAAGGGCATGGCTTTGCCATCCTTAGTTGGGTCGATGGATTCGCACTACTGATAAGACCAAACTAGGTCGCAACAGTGCATCCAGTGCTTCCTAGCTTTTTAGTTCATGCTTTATTTGCCATATACATAACGAATTTCCCTTTTGAAACACACCCAATATATAATTATTTATATTTTGATGGTCATTCATATACCAGGAGAAACGGTAACGTATCGTTCTTCGTCCTTCTTAAGAATGGTCCAATGTTTTATCAGCACCCACACTGACATCATCAACGCTTGTTATAATCTGCTTCCTTTTGGCACTGACATTATTCTTCTCTCTTTTAATCTCCTCCAATACCTGCGTCCATACTAAGTTTATTTCCGTTTGTCTGAAGGAGTGGTCCCTCGAACGGTTGATTGGTGATGGAGCACATGGTCCATTTATGCATGACCTCATTGGGGGTCTCTTTCAAGATGCAATGCACGATCACCTAAAATTTCATAACGGTTTTACCCGTTACAAAATCAATGCCGAGTCATCCTCGTTTTCCATAGAGTAAGAAACATTCGTTGAATCATTTCTCCTAACTGTTACTTAACAGGCTTTAACTTTTGTTGATAAACATCTTTCTATTTTTTCTAAACAGTTTTATACAATTATCATAGATGGTTTGTTTTTGACTATAGTATTTAAGTCCGTGTCTGTGCTCTTTTATTTTGGCTTCAACTTCAATCATTGTAAGGAGATGATAAGTGTTTAGGCCCTTTTATTTTGTTTCACAGTTGTCAATCTTGAATCATTCATAAATTCCATTAGGGTTCGTGATATTTTGTTGATTGGTTGTTTCATTCCTCAATTCAGAATCATTTTGATGGGTTTTTGACCATGGCCGTTGCGAGACTATTTACCCGATCTTTTATTGTTATTCGTTTTGAAAATGCAGCGATCTTTTCCGCTGTTGATGTGGACATGAATCTGTGGGCAAAACTCGGCCTCGTAGATCACGGATACATTGCACGATATCTGTATACGCTTCAAATGTTTCGGCAAGACCTTTATAGTTAATTAAAACATTTGTCGTGTACAGTATATTCCTTGCCTATCATTACTAGTGAAATTGGTGCTGTTTAAATCACCTTGATCGACGTTTCAACTTATTATCTCCGTGGTTTCATCTTGCCACACACTTCTGGGTTTATTCAGCAAGTCAACTCTCCAGATAAGCACCAGATCACAGTCAACCTATAATCCAAAGTTTTCACTAGTTCAATACCGGATTAATTAATTGGAGGGTGTGTAAAACTAGTATACCCAACATTTAGCAATCAGTTTCTATCTGATATTAGTGAAGGGAAGCAGAATAATGCTTGCTAATTTTCATGGACAACTTCGGACCCGATTGAGGCTGCCCTACAGGTTTTGCATATGTTTGTGACAAAATAAGTTTGTGAGCGGGATATTTTAAAAACACCTATTCTCTTTTAATCATTCGTGGATAGCATTGCCATCCGAGTAACGGCAATGAATGAGAATTTTGCTTGAAAATGAACCCTCGAGGAAAACCTTGTAAAAGCA